CTAATTTGATGGAAATCTATCTTGGGTAGAACCATGTAAAATCACCTGAAACAGAAAGAGAGCCAGGTCGTTGCTGTTTTTGAACTGTGTATGAGCACCTTGTGACCTGCCAGAAATTTAGGGGGAGTTTCTTGTTGTTACAAACCTTGACAGACCTTCCACCATTTCTCATGCAGTGAACATTTAACAAACTTGTGGGTGTTGGATTAGACACTCTCTGAGGGCAGAGACTTTGTTTTCTTCGCTGCTGTGTACCCAGTCTCTGGAATGATGCCTAGAATATAGCTGGCATTCAAGAATTTGAAGGTGTTGATGGTCTAGTAACCTTGGAGCTTAAATATGCATGACTGCTCACTCGCCCCTGGGCTTAATTAAAAACTGTGTCACCTAGTGAGTATCATTTAAATATAGCACAGAAAATTGAATACCAACTTTCTGTGTTTTTTTTCTTCTCCCAGATGGCAGATGATCAAGGCCACGTTGGGAGGCAGGGAGCTGGGGATTTGGCAAATAACGACTCAGTGGACGCCAAGCCAGACCGCTCCTCATTTGTGCCATCACTTTTCAGGTATGTTTCCTTCCTTGCTGGATTGATCAGTGACCCTGGGCCACTTTGGCCTGCCACACCTCTGCCACCTCCACCCACCTATGGGAGAGGACATTGAGGGAAGGAGGTTCATGCTGTGCACGGGAGGTTTGCACAGGATCTTGCTGGCTGTCTCTGGGGACGCCAGTGTCCCCATGTGTACCTTCTTATCTCTGGGGCAAGCCCAGGAATGGGGGAAACCAAGCTGCAGGGGTCTCCTGCTCAGCAGGGTGTGTCTGGGTGCAGTTCCCAGGAATGAGGGGCTATGGAGGGAATTCGCAGGCACCTTCAGAGCAGAACCTGGGCTGCTGCTGCCAGCGGGACCAAGCTTGACTAAAACGCAGAATCCAGGGGCCAGGGGACAGGAAGTGTTAGGGTGACTCACTCCCACCCTGTGCCTTGGGAGGCACTCCACTGGCAAAGGCGGGGGGTGGGTACATCCTGTTTATTGGTTTGTATCTTTTCCTTTCTTGAGTTCATTTTTAAAATTCTAAATTTTACATTTAATAATAATGTTAATAGCTTCATTGATTAAACTCTTATATGCCTGCTCGGTATTATTG